GACCAGTGCCCTTTAATCTCTTGTGAGACCACAAAGAGCTCCCTGCTCCTTCTGCTATGTAAGAACACTGCAAGAAGGCAGCCATCTATGAACCAGGAAGCAGTCCCTAACCAGATACTGAATCTGCTGGCACCTTAATCTTGGACTTTTCAGCCTGTAGAACTGTGAAATAAATTTCTATTGTTTATAAGCCACATAGTCTATGTTGTTTTGTTACAGCATCCCAGATGGACTAAGACACATCCTTTGACAAGTGACCATTTATTACATATGTCTGGGCTATGTACTCAGATTGGGGGGGGGCCATTAACATAGCTGAGCACCAAGTAAGGTGTCCTGGCAAGTTGGGCAGGAGAGCAGCAGAGGCCCTCCGACTGGGGCAGGAGCATTGTGGTACCCACCAGGAGAAGGAAGAGGAGAAAAAGGAGGAGGAAGGTCAGGGGCCTCCTGGACATAGGAGCAGGGGCTCTGTGGAGGGAAATAGAGTGTTAAATATACATTAGGCCGTCATCATGAGCCCTGTCCCCTATACCCCCAAACCCATATCCCAGGCATCTCACCCAGAATCTACCTCCAGCATCACATCCTGGAGGTTGGAAGATGCTTGCTTCTTCTTGTTCTAAGGGTAGATAGCAGCCAATAGCAGAATGGATGAAAGTGACTTTCAGTGTGGACTTTCCCTTACTGCTATAGACCTACAGGGCTGGGCTTATTTCTCCTCCTTTCCTGGTATTCCATCGATCCCCAGGACCCTTCATTGGCCTGGACTATGTCTAAGTGTAGTGGATGTCTATCTGTGCCTGTCCTCCAGCCAACTCCCCCTCTCCTGGTAACAAGAGCTCAATTTGGTGTGGGGGGGGGGATGTCACACCTACCCACTCTACTAACCAGACACCTCCACTTTATGATTGGGCATGTGACCCATATATTGCCAGTCAGACAGAGCCTTCTGCTTGGCTGCTGTGATTGCTTCAGAGTGTAGGCCAAGACCCACCACACAGAATGGAATCAGCCCCTGAATTTGGCTGCTAGTAGGTGAGTGGCGTTCTCCTTCTCTTGGGGTGGGTAAACCAATAGAAAGTGTGTAGCTGCTGGGGCAGCCATTTTGCTGAAGAGAAATTCACCTTGGAAAAGTAGAGTCAAAAGAGGGAGGGACTGAGCCCTGACAGCATTTGGGGTCCTGAATTCAACAGCAAATGGACTTTTCAATTACATGAAAAAAGAGCATCCCCTCTTTTGTGTAATTCAATTTGGGTTGGGTTTCTGTCACTTGCCATCAAGATTTCCAAGTGATATACCTGACTGAGGACCAGCTCACCTGAGACTTCTGGAGCAGAGAGCGTCTTTGGTGACCTCCTAAGTGTTTCCGGTGGCTGAGACCCAACATGAGCATGTCCTGTGAAGAGAGGTGTGGAGGCCTTGGGAGAACCAGTGACAAAGAGACACAAGGTTGGGGAAGGGCCAAGGTGGGGGGGTGTCAAAGAGATGAGATGCTGGGGGAAGAGAAGGACCTTGGGAAGAGACAAAGAGAGGGATAGAGCCAAAGAAACTGAGAGGAGAAACATGATTCATTCATTCAACAAATATTTAATGAGTTTCTATTACATGTCAGGCAGTGTTCCAGGAGCTGAGGACACAGTGACAATGCAAACAGGTAAAGTCTTGGCATCCATGGAGCTTTTATTCTGCCAGGAAGAAGACCATAAATTATTGGGTTGGCCAAAAAATTCGTTTGTTTTTTTTCCATAAGATGGCTCCAGTAGCACTTAGTTGTCTAACTTCATTTGGAACAATTTTGTTAAACTGTCTTTTGTCATATCAGCGTGCATTAAAAAAAACTTATCAAAATTGGTGAATTTTTACATAGCCATTTTAATACTGAAGATGGAAGAAAATACACATTTTTGACATATTATGCTTCGTTATTTCAAGAAAGGTAAAAATGCCACTGAAATGCAAAAATAAAAAAGATTTATGCAGTGTATAGAGAAGGTGCTATGACTAATCAAATATGTCAAAAGTGGTTTGTGAAGTTTCATGCTAGAGATTTCTCACTGGATGATGATTCACGGTCAGGTAGACCAGTTGAAGTTGATAGTGATCATTCACTAATGTCTCGATAGTGATCGAGACATTAATTGAGAACAATCAATGTTATACCAAGCAGGAGATAGCTGATATATTCAAAATACCCAACTCAATAAAGTTATTGGTGAAAATGAAAAATGTGTTTTTTATTTTACTGAAAAAACTAAACAAATTTTATGGCCAACCCAATAATAAATGTAGAATGTCAAGATGTGGTAAGTGTCATTAGGAAATAAAGAGGATAAATAGTGATAATGTTTGGAAACCAGAGCAGGCCTCTTTGAAGAGGTGACATTTGAGGAGAGTGTAACGAAGTGAGGAGATGAGCTGGGTATGCATCTGGGGGCTTTGAGATGGGAGTGAATTTGGAGGCTAGCATGGCTGTAGTGGATTGAGCAAGGAGGAGAGTGAGGAAATGAGGAAGTGTATATATAGACAAATGAGAGGAAAACAGAAAGAGATAGAGGAAGATACAGAAGCCAAAAGAGACAGAGGAAGGGAGAGAGGAAAACACTGAGACACCAAGAGAGGAAGAAACACTGAGAGAGACAGAGGGAGAGACAGAGCCAGCAAGACCTCCTTGGAAGAGAAGGACCCTGCTAGGAGGTGAACAGAGGTGTCTTGTGGGTGCCTAGATGGGGATGTCTCCCACTAGCTCTCACCTCAGGGCTTCGTCCCCAGCTCTGGGGGCCCCTGTGGCCACACAGCTCACAGGAAGCGCCTGGTGTCCAGGCTGTCTTTTGCCTCAAGGGCCCAAAGCCCCCAATGTCCCCTGCTGGGTCCCACTCTAATTCTGCAGGAGTGGGGAGGCTACTGGGTGCCCAGGGCCCCCAGACTCCACCAGGTCCTGGCCAGTCTGAGTCCACCTCAACCTCCAAATCCTGGTCCAGTGTGATGGCCTCCTGGTATACCTGGTCAGAGGACAGAAGTCATGGAGGTTGTGAAATTGGCACTGGGGCCAGGGACCACCACAGTGGGTCATACCAGGCTGTAGCTGACCAGCTGGGCCTGCAGCTGCCACAGCTGCCAGAAGATGCTGTCTCGGTGGGATCCGAGGGCCTGCAGGACTTGCTGCAGGGATGCCAGGGCTTGAGGCTCACTCCACTGTGCTAGTCCCTCACTGAACACCAGCAGTGCATCCACACACTCAGCTGCCCCACGTAAATCTGCCTGTAGGGTCTGGGAACACATAGTCGGATACCACTACCCCTACCCCCCCCCCCCATGCACACCAGGGGAACCAGAGACCTGTGACCTGGAGTTACCTGTCCCCCTTTCCTATGGAGATACCTAGGAACAGAATAAACCCATTTTCCATCCCAGGGATCTGACACCCACTCTTGAGGTCCTGCCCACATTCCCACACCTTGGCCTCCCATTGCCCACCTGTAGCCGGACCATCTCACTCTGGGCCAATGTCCAGGGCCCCAGGCCTTGCTCTAGATCTTGCAGCCGGAGGCCCAGGCCCAGTAGCAAAGATGCAGGCTGTCCTGCTCCGCTTCCAATACCTCCCAGCCAGAGATGGGGCTCTGGGGAACAGGGAGCTCAGTCAGTGTTGGTGGGCCAACCAAGACCTTGCCCCATTCTCATAGCCACAACTCTTTTGCAGACTCCTGCCTTCCAGATGGTTCTCTGCGGCAGAGTCCATCCCTGGGTCTGTACCAAGGCTGTTCCTACCTGTAGTCCTTCCCAGTGGAGCAAAGCCTGAGGACCTCTAGTTCAAAGTCTCCAGGTTTCCAAGGCTCCTAGAAACTTGGACATGCTGGGGGTCTCAACAGGAAGGGGATGATGGAGCTGGATACTCCCACAAGGAATGAGGCTCCATCAGGGCCAATCATGAAATAATTGTCTCTCAGTTTGAAATACTTCTATGGCGATTGGTAAAGCATCATTTTCTAGAGTGTCCCTCCCTCCACAGGTATCCAACACTTTTCCAGAATCAGGACTTCATCCCCACTGTGGAGGCCAGATTCTAGGGGAAAGAGAGGAGTTGGGGGCACAAAAGGCCTGGATCACCTCAGCTCACCTCACAGTGTTTGCCCCCAAGAGGGTCCTCATGGGAAGAGGGTGTTGGCAATCTGGGGTGACCAGCACTGGGCTCAGTGTCCCTCAGGCCACCCTGGAAGTGCTCCGGAAGGTCCAAAGAGTCCTGCCCCAGTTTCTGGGCTTGATCTGGCCTGGGAGGTCGGGGGCATTGGCAGACCCTTGGGTGAGCCTAGATGCCCATTATCCACCCTAGCCTATCCCTGTTCCCAGTTCCCTCTCCCCCATCCCCAGGTGATCATAGCTATATACCTCTTACTCTCAAAGTGCCCCTGCTACTGCCGCCATCCCTTTAGTACCCAAGTTTCAAAAGCCCCAGTCCCTACCTGATTCTTTCCTTTTCAGAAGTGGGGCAGATGGTGCATCCAGCAATGTCCAGTTCCCTAGGTGCTCCAGGGGGATGGTTGAGGGGCTCTGGGTGGGGTCTAGGGCCCAGAGATGGGGTCAGAGCCATAGCTGAGGGCCTGGGGACAGAGAGTCTTTGAGGATCACCAGTAAAAGGCTTTTTTCTAGCCAGTAGTGTCCTCTCAGACATCTACAGTAGGACTCACCCAGGCCTGAGGCAGATGGAGGGCCAGGGGAAGGCTCAGCTTCACTTCCTTCCAAGTGAAACCTGGACCCAGGTAATTTGATGCTGGCTCAGGTGACAGTAGCACCACTTAACTCTCTAGCAGACCTGTAACTGAACTTCCCTAGCTCACCCCGCTACACCTAATGGGGTTCTACATATAACCCTGCCCCTTCAAGAGTCCTGGATTCTGCCTGGTTCATCTGACCCCCAAGCCCCACGCCATCTAACGTCCCAGACTCAGTGTCCCTCAGGAACACAAGCATCTGCCCCAAACCCCCTCAATCCAAAACCAAAGAAAGATTTTTGTTGGTTTATTTGAAATGAGACTTTTCTCTTTGGTTCCCACAAAGTTATTGGGAAAATAAATAACTCAGGGGAGCCTCCTCTGCCCCAGGGTTTCAACGCTGCAGGGTCGTAGCTGTCCAGAGTGGATAGCCCGGGAAGCCTAGAAGATCCTGGGGCCAGGTGTCACTTGCTGAGCAGGAGGCCGGCGCGCAGCACGCGGGGCACCCGGCGGATGGTCAACGAGATGCGGGTGCCCCGAACCAGGCAGGCTCCAGGCTGTGCTGACTGGCAGGCAGCGGCGTTAAGTGGCAGGGAGGCTGTGTCGAGCTGATCAACCTGGGTGGCTGCGATGCCGTGGAGGAGGCGCGTGTAGGCGGTGCCTCGGAGCACCAGCAGACTGCGGGGTTCCAGCAGCAACGAGGTGACTCGCCCGGGAGGGGGCCGGGGCTTCGGGGAGTATTAACGGTCAGTGAGTCCCCAGAAATGGGAGGGTCGAAGAGAAATTAGCAAACTTTTAGAATCAGGGAGGGAAGGTCAGCAAGTGCCCAAAGACAAAGGCCGAGGGGCAAGTGTGCTCCCAGGGATCGAAGCTTTGGATTAAAAAATCAGCGGGCCCCAGAGCCAGGGTTTCAGGGAACAGGAAGGGGCTGGGGTAGGGGGATCAGCAGTCCCTTGGGAGAAACAGGAACTAGGCTGCAGCTAGGACCTCCAAGGGGCTGGAGCTGGAACGGAGGGCTCAGTGGTCACAGGGAACTGGGTGGAACTGGATTGAGGGTTTGACAGAAGCTAGGAGGTGGGGTTGGGGGAGCAGAGTGAGGCAGAGATGATCTGATGTAGTCTGGGTTGTATCTGTGGACATCAGGATGTTTGAGGAAACTGGCACAGTAGGCAGGGTATCGGATATTCAGGAGCATGTAGTACTGAAAAGGGAAATCCTAAGAGGCAGCTGGAGTCAGGGTGTCCAGGGGGGTTTCTGTGAGCATTGGGGTGTTAGAAATGCATCATTCAGGGAAAGAGATCAGGGAAACTGCTGTCATAAGCAGACCTCAAAGAGGACAGTGTCAAGGAGGATCTGGGTATGCCCTCTATGGCAAATCATACTACTGGAGTGTCAGGGGGGAGGTCAGTATTGGGGTGCTCTGTACACTATGCAGAATCAGGATATCTGAGAGGATATCAGGGACACCTATGAGGGAATGGTGTTGGGGGCATCTGAGGGTATCAGTATCTGCTATGTACTGGGGAGCCCTGTGTGGCATATGTAGACCTTGGGCTATTTATTGGAGCACCCTGAATGTGTGGGGCCAAAGGATCTTAAGGGTGTCAGAGCATTCCAATCAGCAAGTGGGGGTATTGGGATGTCTGTGGATATCAATATTTCTAGGGCACCCTGTAAGCAGATGAGCTAGGTATCTAGGAAGATGTCACTTCATGAGGGAACAGGGAACATCTGGGAGGTTATCAGGGTTATCTTGTAGGTAGGTGGGATTGGGGCCTCTTAGAGGATGTGGGATGTCAGGGTGCCCATGAGTGGCTGAAGCAGTGTCCCAGGGCCCACCTGTTCTGTATGGTCATCATCCTCTGGCTGCCGCGGCTTGTAGAGGTCCAGCATGGTGTGGGAGCCCAGGCTGATCGTGCTGACGGTCGGGTAGTACAGCGGCCCATCCTCGTGGGGCTGGGGAGTGGGCACCAGGGCTGGACAGGGCAGGAGTCCGCACCTCCCACCCTCTGAGGCTTAAGGGGGGCTCCCCAGCTGGGGACAGGGAGGTGAATGCCTGGTTGGGGTAGTTCGGGTATGCGGCTGCTTAATGAGAGTAGAGGTGGGTCAACAAGATATCCTGCCCCATGATGGATTAGAGGTCTGGGGGTTGGGGTGAGGGTGTGTAGTTACCATGATGCCCTCCCCAGGCAGATACTGGTTCACAAGGACGTGGTTGGCTGGGAGACCCCCAAAAAGACTGAGGTCAGATACTTTGTCCACGTAGCGCTGGAGCCATAGAGGAAGCCGCTCAGGAACCATCCCCCGGGGATGGGGGAGCCCACCTGGAGGAGGGCAATGGGGTCCTGAAAGTGTCTAACCAAGGAGCCCTGGCACCTCAAGCCCTTGTTAATGATATCCCAGAGTTTGATAACACACTGACCTCCTCAGGGACACCTGACTCTCTGGAGATCACCACCCAACCTTCCAAGGTTTCCTGATGCCTCTAACCCCCCTAGACCCTCTGAGACCCCCAACTTGTAAGGAAATCCCTAATCCTGTAGGACCTCTACTGATCCCTGAGAGTTCTCCTGGCCCTCAGGACCCCTTGAACCATTAAGGGCCCCCCAATATCTTGATACTAACCAACTTGAGCCACCTGCCCAAGCCCACGTTCTCAAATCACCCATGCCCTGAGGCAGGAACACTTACCCCAGTTCTGTAACTTCCTCCCTGACAGCTGCGTCCACTTTGGCTTTGGGGCATTGAAGACCTGGGAGGTGGAGAGAGGGTCATTTCTTTTTCAGGACAAACCTCTCTGATTCTCCCACCCAAGACAATATAGAAGTCTTTACCCAAGGTGAAAATAGGTCATCTCAGTACCTATGGGATTCTCTGGGATACAGTGTTCCCAAAATTTTGTTGTTTGCCCGTTCCCCTGTGGAGGCTGCTGGCCCCAAAGACCACCTCTGTCTACTGGGATCAAGAAACGGAACCCGGGCTACACAATTGCAGTCTGAATCTACTCAGGGCGCTGGCCTGCATTGGGCTCTTTTAGTCCAGTAGTCTGCAGCCTGTAATTTCCTGGACTATCTCAGAACAGTCTGACTTCTGGAACCTCCTTGTTCCTATCACCTGGAGAGAATGTGCTAAACTGGGCTAACTTAGCATAGAAAAGAGTGCTTTAACATTTCTCTTTCTCTACTGCCAAGATCCCAAAGGTCAAGAATGGGCAATCTTTGAGAAGTCCAAGACATCTATACTCTACTCAATAATCTCCTTATTCCCCTTCTGGTTATGGGGCTGGAATAGACAGTCTCAGCACAAGGGTCTGTGCTCTGTGGCTAACTTATTCCTGGGACTCAAACTAGACAGGACTTGTTGGAATAGCCCAGGGAAGATCTGTGCTTTATAATTAAGGCTCTGGGGCTGCAAAGGGTTATCCCAGTGCAAGAACTGAGCTATGTAAATTCTTCTTTCCCTGAACCTTGAAAATAGCACAGGTGGTCTATGCTAAAAACCTTGTTCTCAAGACACTGGGTCTATGCTGAGCAATTGCAGCAGAGGAAAGAGTATACTCTATAACATTCTGAGGCCTGGGCTATCTCAACACAAAAATCTGAACACTGCAAATTCTTCATTCTCCAAACATCAAAGGCCTGAGCTGGACTTTCTCGGCCTATATTTATAACCTCCTTTTCTCTAAGATTACAGAATTGGGCTATCTCAGCACAGAGAATATGGGCTCTGTAACTTCCTTATTTCTGAGGCTCTGTGCTTTTACTAGGCTATTCCAGCACAAGGAATCTGATCTCAGTAACATCCTTGTTTTGGAAGCTGGACTGGCCCATCTCAGCACAAGGAGTTTGAGCTACATAATACTTCCTTCCTAAGAAACAGTTAGGTGTCCCCCAAGCTTCCTGGGAAAAGCTTTCTGACAGGCCCAGTAGGTCCTGAGAAAAGAACAGAGAAGGTAAGGGATGGGTGCTGCGTGGCACTCTCCTTCCTGCCAGGATCTTCATTATAGCCTCAGGGGCTCTTACACAGGAACTAGGGGTTGGGGAAGAATCTGGAAGGAGGAGAAAAACAGACCAGAAGGGAACTGGGGTCACCTGTCGAAGCAAATATTCCTCCTCTTCCTTGGAGATGAAGTCGGGGACATAGTAGATTACAGGTGGTGCCTAGGATAAAGAGATCCCCTGTAGGTGGTGCCCTTTGACCTACTGAGGGGCCCTAGCATCCAAGAGCAGATCCCTCCCTCTGTAGTGAAGTTCAGGATGTCCTCAGACAGGCCAGGGCCTGAAGTAGAGGGACCAATGTCCATTTTGGCAGTAGGAAGTGGGGGTGAGGTAAGGGGAAGAATGAACTTGGAGGAAGCAGTCCCAGCTCACAAAACCCAGGAGTCAGCCTACCTATCCCCACTCTATCTCCCACCCTCTAGTCCCCACCTTCACCCTCTGCACCCCGAGTCCTGACAACCTGGTCCACCCTGAATGGTTCCAGGGCTGGGACCCTGGAGTCCTGATCCTCCATCGACACCAACTCCATGCACCTAGTCCTGTGGGAAGGGGAGGACATGCTGAAATCACCAAGCCTCCTACAATCAGGCTATGATCTTATTTTCTGCTCTATCGTGGGTCAGGGCCTCAATTCAGCCTTCTAACCAAACTCACTCAATTTCTAAAACCTGAGTCCTCAGCCTCTCAAAAGCCACCCAATAAGCACCCAGACTCTCTGTCTAGACACATGAACATCCAGGACTCAAACTCCATCCACCAAGGGCTTATCAAACTGCACATATTTTTATCAAGAGAGAACATCTTTTCACAGAGTACATCCTTTGACCCCCTCTGACAACCTTTCTCAAGAGCTCCACAGCCTGCAGGACCCCTTTAAACATCTTAATTTGAGATCCCTTTCTAACAACTTCAGATCTGTAATCATGAGCCTCGCTCTAACAATATTGAGGGTCCCCATGGACACACCTCCTGCTCCCAAGCCCTGTCAGACGCCCCACTCTGAACACCCTATACCACCAATGTGAGTCTCTTCTGACTCATCCACTCTGTTTCCTTGGATCCCCCCACTCTGGACTCCCTCAGGTTTCTCTATCCGTGCGCTGCTTCACTGCAGCACCCTTGGACCTATAGCCCGAAGCCTGACTCCTCTCAAACCTTTCTTTCCTGAACCCCTTTGCCCCCGTTCTGAATCTTCTAAGAATCCACATTCTGCGCTTCCTCGGACTCCTCTGTGAGCTTCCCCGGATCCCCACCCTCGGCTCCCTCGGACCCCTATTTCCGCCCTCCGCCCTCCTTAAAACTGACCGTCCACCAATGCTCCCTCCTATATCCAAACTCAACCCTTCTATTCCTTCTCCAGCCGCTTCCGCATCCACGTTTCTGACGTATAGCCCTCAGACCAATGGGAACTCTCAAAGGCCTTAAAGGTCCGCCTTCTACCCAATCAGCGGTCTCAAGCAATATTGTCCTGCTCCTTCAATCTTGTCCAGTGATAGGATGCGCCTCTCGGCCTCTGAGCCACTGGGACCCTTCGGATACCCGTCTACGTCTGGCACCGACCAATCAGAGCTCCAGAACCGAACCTGTCCACACTGCGAAGTGGGCCTGGAAGAGGGGTAGCCATGATGACTGCGGGAAGATGACTGGTAGGACTTCCTGCAGTTTAGAAGATCCTATTCCCATGCTGCAGGGAAACGAGATTGAAGATAGGACTTCCTCTCTCATCCTCCCCCAGCAGCGGTACAGAAGCAGAGCTGTCATTCTCCACACACAGGCCAGACACAGGGAAACCATAGAAACGTCTTTATTGAATGGGACAGGGGTCATGCTGAGTTCTGAGACATGCAGTGAAGGGGCAGTCGTGAGCTGTCCTTGGTAATGAGGCCCCTAAGTTCTCCCTTGGCTGTTGGTCAGGCCTGGGTGCTGTTAAGTCCTTTGGGGCCAATGACTCAGATTTGGTGCTTTAGACCTATGATCGGAACGTAGGTTGAAATTGGGACTCCAGGATGTGGGGTCCTCTCAAGGCCTTGGGGTCCTTCATGTATAAAGACACGGTGGCTTTAGGATTTGGAGTTCCATTAAAGGTGGGGCTCATGGAATTTGGGTGTCTTGAGATCCATGACTCAGGGCATTGAGGTCGTCCAGTTTTCAGGAATGAGCATTCCTGTTTGGGGTTTCCTGGTGCCTGTGAATGGGACTTAAGGTGCTACGGGAGCCTGGGATGCATGCCCTGACTGCAGTCTCCTCCATTCTAGGCAGAAGGACCTCTACAATTGGAGTTTCTTGGGGGTTTAGGATTGGATTTTACAATTTGGAATTCCCTGGGGATTTGAAAATTTTATGGTTTTGGGGGTCCTGGGAATTAGGGCCTTAGGATCTTCCCAAGGCCATAAGACTTGAGGGCACAGGGGAGTTTGGGATGTGTATCCTAGAGTTTAGGATCCCCAGTCTCAGAATGGGGGCTCCAAATTTTAGGGTCCCCCAAAGGGGGCAGTTATCACTTTAAAAATAGAGAATTTTCTGGAAACCTGGCCAGCACAGGGCCTGTGGGCCATGTTGAGTGGGCTTCATACAAGGCACTGGGGGTTTCTTGAGGGTGCAGAGAGTAGGAATAATTTTGGGGGAGGGGTCCTGTAATTAGCACTTTCAGGACTATTTTGGTTTCTGTAAATTGGGAGTGACAATGGTCTGGTTTTTGAAGGGTAAGAGCAGGGGTCTTTGTTAATGGAGATGAGGTCTCAGATTGCAGTGTAAGGGTTTCCTGGTAACAGTGGGGATCACATCTCAAGGGGACTGATGTTAAATGCAGGATAATGACAAAGGTCTGTAACTGTAGCTCTGAAGGTGTGACCTGCGTTTATTTCAAGGGGACTTGATGGGGTCTTTTTTAACTGGAGAGGGACCTGTGATGTGTCTCAGGAATGTCCTGCTGTGGTGCATTATGTGGAGAAGGTCACCATTTGGGATGATGTGGAAATCTGTTATTGGGGGCTCTGATATGAGGGGTTGAGGATAGGGACTAGTTAGGAGCTACACTCAGGGAATCTTTTTCTGGGTAACATGGGGTCTGTAGCTGGGGGGTTATCATGGGGACATCTGTTAATAATAGGGCCTCAGTGATCAAGGGCTGGCTAATTGGGGTCTCTATTCTGAATGTGTTACTAGGAATATCTATTTCAGGGTGACTTGGGGGCTCCTTGCATCAGGAGATTCTATAAGGGGTTGTCTCTTTGTCAGGTGTCCAGGGCCTCTAAGACTGCATCTCAGCCCTCAGCATCCAGGGAAACCAGCAGCAGAAGAGCAATCTGGAAAGGAGAACCATGCATCAACCCAATGCAGGGGTGGGAACACCTGGATCTATCTCCCACAGCTCTCCCCCAAGTACTTGGAATTTGACCTTGCTGGATTCTGCCTCTACCTCTTTGGCTATGCCTTCTTAGGCACCTGTGGAGGATATTTTGCCTCTTCTACCTGCCCCTTAAAAGCTGAAATCTCTAGAATTCAGTGCGGGGCCTCAGTCCTAAAGACTGTTTTTGGGTAAGCTGACTAGTTACAAGTTTTCCTGCCCTCTATTTCTAGCCCCAACCAGAGCTCCAGACCCCTGTGTCCAATTGCCTGGCTACACACCTGGAGATTGAGTTCTCTGATGCGATGTCCTTTGGGGTCCGGACTGTTGTGAAGGTGCGTTTGGGCTGCATCACTGAAGGGGAGGGCAAGGTCTCAGGTGAGGGAATGACAGACCCACCTGTGTCCTTAATACCCACCCAGACTCCTGGACCCCACATTCCCAATACCCATCTGAACCTCTTTCATCAATAATATCCTCTGGTGTCTCCAATACCTACCTATGTTCCCAGTGCCTACCCAGAGTCTTGTCATTAACATCCCCGTATCCCATAGCACTTATCCTCTTGGGGATACTGTTTCATCATTTTCATGGTCCCTGTGTTTCTAGTTGAATCCTGGAGATTCTGTCACTAGCATGACCCTCCTATCCTATCTCCAAACTTTCCTCCCCACACTCTAGCACCCAACTCACTTGTCACTTGATGCACTTTTTTGGCTCCCACACTGTCCCCAGGGGGGTCAGTGGATCCAGCAGTCCTGGGGAGACACAAGGAGTGGAAGGAGTCAGAGCCACAGAAGCCAGGGTCTGACCTGGAGATTGGGGCTAGGGGCCCACGCAGAAAGACCTTGGGTGTAGGCTCAGGTATCCACACTGTCCTACTAGTTCAAGAGGGGAGTTCTGAGTGGTACCTTAGGTTAAGGTCGGAGTTTGGGCTCACCTCTGAATTCGGGATGCTGGTGCAAAGACTCCATGTCTTGGGGGGCAGGTGAAGTACCGGACACCAAAGACAGAGCCATCATGCTTGCCCGTAGGCTGGTCTAGCTCAATACCATACCAGTAACCTGAAGCAGAAGAGTGTCAGGATACCTCGAGGCCTACCTCCCCTGAGGCCCAGATCCCCATTCTCACCTGGGGCAAAGTCTGTCTTCCCATAGAAGCGTACAACCCCTTGCTTTTGGCCTGCTACAAGAACTTGGTCTCCAACCTCAGCCTTGGCTCCCTCACGCTGCTGCAGGCTGCCCAGAGATGGGGATGATGGGGGCTTCTTCTTGCCTGGGGGTGGAAGATACAGGGGTGGGGTAGGGCTCCCAGACACCTGTCCTGGGGGACCATGCCACCAGAAAGCCCCAAGGCAGGAATTCTGTCCTAGCTCCAATTAGAGGAACTCCAGAGCCTTTCCCAGAACTGCGGGGCTTTGGGTGTGGAAGGAAACCACAGCTGAGTTAAGAACTGGAAGAACCCCAAAATCCTTTCTCAAAGCTCAGGTCATTTGGGCCAAAGGAAAAATGAGTCACAGAAGTCAGGAACCCAGAAATTGCCCTTTTAAAATACAGGAGGGAGCTGGGTCTAAGGACACTGGATATTCAAGTTGCTAAAGCCAGGAACCCGAAAGATTCTTCCCTAAAACTGCAGAAAAACTTTTGGGCCTAAAGTTACAGAAGGCAGAGAACTCACAGGTCCTTCCAAGAACTGGGTGGAGCTAGTACTAAGTCAAAGTAGAAACTGAGTTAAAGAAGTCAGAACTAAAGGTCATCCTCTAAAACTAGAGTTTGGGCCTGGGGAGAAACCGGGCCACAGAAGCTGGCCTACCCACAGATTATCCCCAAGACTGGCTCTGCTCACCCCCAGAGCTCCCTCTCTGACCTTTGTGTTCCCTGCGGCCTTTGCCAGTGACACGGGAGAAATCCATCCGGGGAGTACGAGGTGTGGAGGTGACTGATGAAGGGGGTGCATCCACTGCCTTGGAGATCTTGGACACAGAGGCAAAGAGACCTGGGAGCATAGAGCCTGGGCTGGGAGTTGTCCAAGTCTATGCCCTATGCCCTCCACCCCACCACCATCCCCCAAGCCTCATTACCCAGTCAGCAACATCAGAACTACTAAGTGGACCTCACCCACCACTCCTTTTGGGCCCCTGGTGGGACTGACCCTGCTTGGGAGGGCAGATGAAGTACCGGACACCACCAACACTGCCATCATTCTTGCCCTCAGGTTCGTCCAGCTCCACGCCCACCCACTGGCCACTGGCAAACTCCGTGGTCCCACAGAACCGCAGTGTGCCCGTCTGAGGAAACAAAGGAGGGTATGGTTTGGGGAGGCCATGATAGATCACTGGCACACAGGCATAGTGGTGAGGTAGATGAGGGAGCCCCAGGCTCAAATCTCAGCTCAGACATCACCATTTATTGGCTATATGACGTAACACCTCACTGTGTCTTGATGTCTTCATCTACAAAATAGGAATGGAAACTGTGCCCACCTTACAGAATTGTTATAGAGCTGCCCTGTCCATTGCAATAAATAACCACTAGCCAAAACATGACAATTCAAGTAAAATTAAATTAAAATTTCATTTCCCCAATGACACCAGCCACATTTCAAGTACTTAACAGCCACATATGGCTTGTGGCTACTCCACTGGACAGCACAGACACAGAACACTTTCGTCATCACAAAATGGTCTATTGCACCACAGGGCTGTTATAGAAAAATGAAAGCCCCCAGAACAGGCCAGGGGTTGAGTAAGGGGTTAGGAAGTGTTGACTACTATTATCCTGTAACTTTGGTCCAGGGACCTCCCAGGCCAGTTTCATCTGGAAAATTTGGATAACAATCCACCTCCTAGGCTGACTGGTTGAAACATTTTTCATATAAAGTTGCTTAGCTGCAGTGCATGTGGTTATTAGCATTGTGTGAAGCTCCTTCACCTCTCTGAGTCTCAGTTCCCTGTCTGTAAGATGGGCTAACTACAAGTGCTACTTTGGAGGGTTAGTGTGGAGATCTTTGTGTGCCTGGCACACAAAAAGCACTTAGAATGTGCCAAGCCCTGTTCTAAGGGCTTTACACATTTTAACTAATTTAAACCTCATACCACCTTCTGAGGGAGGTACTGTTATTAGCTCTGTTGTACAGATGAAGGAACTGATGCCCAGAAAGACAGAATCACTGGCCTCAGGCCCCAGAGCTGGTTAAGATATATCTCAGCAAATCTATGAGCCTGAGCTCAAAATCACTGTGCTGTGCCAGTTTTCTGAGTAGGGATAGTTATTACATGTCCTCAGACAAAGAGCTTCGCCTCTTTGAGCCTCTTACAGTCTTCTGGATTATAAAACAGGGAGAGTGAACTCATCCTGCTTTTAGAATTGTCACATGAATTTGATTAGGTCACATACAGAAAGCTTTCCAGATGGGGCTGCATGCATACAAAAAAAAAATTAGGAAACAAAATGACTTCTATGGTTTCTCACTGTACAAGAAATAAAATCCAGATTTCTTCCAGTGGCCTAGAGGTCTGGTGTGATCAGTCCCTGCTGACCTCTCCACCTATTCTTCTCTCCTGTACAGCTGGGCCTCTGTACCAGCTGTTACCATCTCCATATTTTTGCAGGTTGAGTTCCTTCCCATCTCAGCTCAGACATCACCTCCTTAGAGAAGCACTCTTGGAGAATCCAGTTAAAATCACCTCTACCTTTAGCCAGGGACAATTTACTAAATCTAAACACTTAATGATTTTCAAAGTCCTTGTTGCTACCAGAAATAATCTTAACTATAGGTTTACTTTATTGACAGTCTCTCCTTCATTAGAAACAAAGCTCCATGAGAACAGGCCTGAGGCTGACAGTCCTTTATCCCCAAAAATGGGCTGAGTCAGGCATGGAGCCTAAGGGATACGAGCAAATGAATCAAAGTTGGAATGCCTAGACGAATGAAGATTCTCTCTGCCCTCTGGCCCTTTTCACCTGCTTGTCCTACCTGAGACCCTCTTCTCCTGGCTCACTCTTCCTCATCTTCAAGTGGATACATCTCCTGGCACACCTCTGATTGTTCTGATCTGTACATTTTTCCCAAAGTACTGACTGCTCTGGGAGCAGAGGTGAGGCCTGACTGGAAACCACAAAGGCCAGGGGACCCAGATGGAGCAGAGCTGCAATGACTACTCTGATTGTGCTTCCCCATAACAGTCACAACTGCTCTGGACTGTCACTGTCAGTTGAGGGAAATCTGTCTTCCCCCTTGGATTGAGACCTCAGCCCAGAGTGGAGCACAAAAGAGGCACTCACAGAAAAACTGTCAGGTGAAATAAAAACTGTGTGGATCATTGGGAAGGTGCCCAAGGACTCAGTTCTGAGGGATGATGGCTGAGTCATGCCCTCCCCTACCCAATCCAGTCTCTGACCTTCTGGCCATCCAGCAGCACTCGGTCTCCCAGGCGCAGGCCCAGTGCGCTGAGCATGAGATTGCCTGGGACGTTGTCATAGTTGGGTAGCGTGACCTTGGGGAGAGCGCAGGAGAGTGGCACAGCCTCCTCCAGCAGTGTTCGTAGTTCCTTGGCCACCAGCGCCGCCTCTGCCTTGTCCAGGGACATGTCCATGGGGTCTGGGACCACCTCTGCTGGCACCTGCCCCTTTCGGTTCTGAGAGCCAATGAAAAGACGGGAGCAAGGACTCAGTGGTGCAGGCTGTATCCCCACTGAACCCATGCCCTGAGACCCCAGGTCTAGGTGAAGCAGTGGCCAACATGGGACTAATAAGGGGTGAGGCATTAAGGTTCAGATCTCGGTCTGTGAATGTCAAGTGATTGGAGGTGGGACTAGGGGTGGAGCTGATAGGAAATGAAGTTTACAGTTAAAGTGTTGTAGGTCATACCTTCAGGGAGGCCATGGCCCCAGAGACCCACACCCAGGGATGGGGCCACGTGAGGGATGAACACTGAAAACAGGCTCCTATAGTACTGAGTCCATGATCCAACTGAGCTAATGGGAAGGAGATGAGGCAAAGCCTCAGGGGTACAGGTGTCACCCTAAGATATCTGTGCCTGGGATGCTGCAGAGTAAGCTGGTGCTAAAAATAGGACCTAAAAATGGACAGGTTGGGGTCAAAGATTATATTGAAGGTTTATGTAGGACCCAACCCTCTCATTCACCAAGGGTCTTATTCGACTTGCTTCATGATCTCTAAATGCTGTCTATACACAGCCACAGGGTCAGCCAAGACTGAAAAAAGATACTCCTTGCTGGGTGACACTGGATAAATCACTTACTCACTCTGCCTCAGGTTTCTCATTGTAAAATAGCACTCATAACACAGTTCACCTGACATATCATGAACACTACGTAAATGTCAGCTATTATTTCGTTTGTTGAATGTACAGATGATCTTTGTAATGTTTTGAGAGCTTCCAGAGACACAGGTGGTCAGGGCACCCCTCATCCTCTGCAGATGCCTGCTGGCCTAGAAAGGAATGGGGAAGGAAGGGGAAGGAAGATAACAGTGCTGGGCCAGGGTGGCAGTACCCGCAGTGCTGGATTGGCACCGTGCTCCAGCAAACATTTGGCTGCACCCAGGCATAGGTTGGAGGCAGCGATGTGCAGGGCTGAGCCATGGTTGAAGTCACTGCACGTGGAGTTCACCACTGGGAGGTGGGCGAGAAGAGAGATCATGGTGAGCGTCCTTGACACTCCAGGCATCCCCCTACCTTCCAACCTCCAGAAATCCATCCCTTAACTGTTTCTTAACTCACAGGCCCCAGTGCCTCCCACATAACCCCACCTCTTCCAATGAGGTCCAGCCCTGCCCAAGGGTAGAGGACCACTGAGTCCCATCTCCAATTCCAATGACCAGCCTCCCACTATCTCCTCAATTTGGTCCTCCTGCCTACCCAGCCAAGACTCCATCATTTGGTATCCCTTCTTCACGCCACATCCCACACCCACAACCTGGGGCATCCTCCTTCTGTTTCCAGGCCTCCTCCCTCACTGGGTCCCAGTCCTCTCACCCCAGCCTGGGCTTCCCCCCTCACCTCGTGGCCGTGCACCCTTCAGCAGCACACGCACGAGGTCAGGCACATCGAAATAGGCCGCATAGTGCAGAGCATTCATATTGGTCCAGCGGCTGCGCAGGGTCACGTCTGCACCCAGCGCCAGCAGCTGCTGTGAGAGGCGCACTGCCGCAGTGGGGTCCCCTGCATCATAGCCTGGGTCAGTGTGTGTGACCTCCTCTAGAGCAAGGGCCCAGGGCATGGGGAAGGCCCTGGGTCTCAGGGACTACACTTTGGGATCTTAGGCTGTGGGTTCAGAGGGGATCTGAGGACCAGGGTTCTGGGTGGTTCTGAAGGTGTTGGGACTGGGGGCCGAGATTCTGGGGCACATGGTTTCGAGATTTGGACTCTCACCAACTCCATGGGCCCCAGCCTTGCAGGCATAATGGAGTAGTGTCATGTCAGTCAGCCCATCACGATCATTCACATGGCAGCCTCGACGCAGAATCTGGGAGTACCAGAGGGACAGGGAAGGTTACTCAAACATGCGAGGGACTCCATCCTTTCCCTCCCTAGCCTCCCCAGTGTTCTTACCTCATTGCCAATGACGTCAATCTTGTGCTGTACTTGGGGCACCCACTGGCGCACAATGGCAAACAGCTCTGGGATGGTGGTCTGCGGGTCAAACAGAATCTCCTGGCACGCTGGGTCATTGGGGTCGAAGAAGGTGAAGGCTGAGGTGGCAAGAGGTCTAAAGTCACCCCAGGCGAGCTGACCTCCTTCCATCCTGAGGCAGGGGAGGCTCTAGGTCTCTGTCTTTTAGACCCTCTCTAAGGTAGGGTCTCAAACTGGTGGCACATAGGCCACAGGCATATTCCATGTGGCCTTCAAAGTCAGGAGGTTTCACATAAAAATCTGGACACTCAGTATGTCTTAAAAAATTGGAAGACTGGGCAATTCCCACAGAGCAGCAAACACCATCCTTTGAATCAAGAGTGTTGCCCTAGCCCTGGCTGGCATAGCTCAGTGGATTGAGTGCGGGCTTCGAACCAAAGCATTGCAGGTTCAATTCCTAGTCAGGGCATATGCCTGGGTTGCAGGCCACAGCCCCCAGCAACTGCACATTGATGTTTCTCTCTCTCTCTCTCTCTCTCTCTCTCTCTCTTTCTCCCTCCCTTCCCTTTCAAAAAATAAATAAATAAAATCTTAAAAAAAAAAAAAAAGTGTCGCCCTGGCTGGTGTGACTCAGTGGATTGAGTGCCGGCCTGCAAACCAAGAGGTTGCCAGTTTGATTCCCAGTCAGGGCACAAGTCTGGGTTGTGGACCAGGTCCTAAGTTGGGGGCATGTGAGAGGCAACCAATTGATGTATGTCTAGCACATCGATGTTTCTCTCCCTCTCTTTCCTCTTCCCCTCTCCCTAAAAATAAATAAATAAATAAAATCTTTAATAATAAAAGAAAAGAAAAGTGTGGCAAGGAGTGGTAGCACTCTTGAGTCTGCATGCCCGAGGAGGCTGCTAGTGCACTGTTGCCCTGACAGAGTATGGGGATAGTTTGGTCAAATCTCCACAGGAAAAATAAAAACAGAAATCCAGGTTTTAAAGAAAAACCTCCCCTATTTTTCAAATGCTGTGTAGTCCACATAAAATGTATGCATGGTTAGGATCTAACCTGTGGCCAGCCAGGGGTGCCCATAGGGACTTGTGTCTCCCCCAGTTAGACTCTGATGAGTGTTGCTCTCTGTAGTAACGTCAGCACCCAGCTTTGGATCTGGTCTATGGCAGGAACTCAGAGCATGATGGGTGAATGAGTAATGAATGACCAGATGATATGGAGCCCAGGGAAGTGCCACATAGGTGTCTCCAGGAATTAGTCTTTTAAAATCCCTGTCACGAAACAGCACTCCTTGGCTCAAAACACTGCCCTGGCTCCAGTCACATTCAGAATATAGACCACAGTCCTTCCCACTACCTACAGGTCCTGCACAAACTGGCCTCCTCATCTGTTCTGTACCCTCACTGCCTCACCCATTCCCTTCCAGCCACACTGGCTTCTTTCTGTCCTTTCAACACACTAGACAAATTCCTGTCTCAGGGGCTCTGTACTTGCTGTTTTTCTTGCCTGGGACAATCTTCCCTCATATCTTCGCAAGGCTTTCCAGGTCTGTACTCAAATGTCACCTCTTCAGAGAAGTCTCCCTGATCACTCTATTGAAATCAGCACTTCTGCCTTCTCCATCTTCTACCTTTGTTTATTTCTTTATTCACAGTACATATCACTACTTAACTTGTTTACACCTCCCTCCCTCCTTTTCTCCCTTCCTCTTTCCTTCTGTTTCTCTTCCCTTTGTTCTTCTTTCTTTTATATATATGTGTGTGTACATATACAATATTTTACTGTTACTCTATTATAGTTGTCCCAATTTTTCTCCCTTTGCCTTCCTCCAGTCAGCCCACCCCCACCCCCACACTAGTCTCCCTCATTAGGATATAAGTGCAACACTCCCATTCTGCCTTAGTCCCTCCCTTACCCCCAAGGCCCAGCACAAAACCTGGCAAGGAGCAGGTGTTCAGTTAATCTCTGCTCAATTAATGTACAAATTTAATAAACAAATATATGAGTTCCTCTTAAAGTCTGCCTTAGCCCTCTGTCTCTCCTGGTGGCCAGTTTCCTTCACCTCCTGTGGCCAATCCTGCTGGTCTTACAAGGAGTATTCCTGGGGAAGGGTGGGGTGGGGGACAGCCTAGACCTTCTCACTTCCCACCAGGTCAAAGGCTCTGGCCATATCCAGCCCTATTTCCAAAGGAGATTTTCCGGTTTCCAGGATGGGTTCCCTGCCCCCACACCCAGGTTACTTTCTTATTTTTCTACCAGACTGAGGTTAACTAGTTGCCTCTCTGATCCACCTCTAGTGGGTGACATTTCCTTAGCTCTGACCCTCACAGCCAATGTCTTCTAAAAGCCCCTTCTTATATTCAATTCCAGATGAGCCCCACCCTCCCTACCTTGTAGCCAGAGGGAGCTTTTAAACATATAAATCAGACCTACAACTCCTCTGCTTTTAAACAATCCCTCAAATACTCTCCCCCAATCACACTTAGAGTATATCCAAAGTCCTCACTGTGGTCTTTTAAGCCCCTTTCAGATCTAGCCATTGCCAACTTCTCACTTCAACTCTGATCGCTCCCTAACTGCAGCTCCATGAGCTTCTTTTTGTTCCAAGCTCAGACCTGTTCCAAACCTAGGGCTCTGTACTTGCTGCTCTCTGCCTGGAACTTTCTTTCTGCAGTTGTCCTATGGCTGATTCCTCCTCATGCTCTGGGTTTCAGCCTAAATGCTACCTCATCTGTAAGACCCACCCTGACCTCTCTGTCTCAAGTTGCTAACTTCTGGCCATTCTCTATTTTTATTTCTATCTTTTCTTTCTCTCATAGCACTTACTGCAACCTGAAGTTATCTGATTTATTGATCGTTTGTTATTCAGTCTTTCTTCTCCTGAGGGAAGGGATCATCCCTGGATTGCTCACCATTAAATCTCTATCACCCAACATAAGGCTACTCACAGAGTAGTAGCAGCTTGATGATTAGACACTTTCAGTTTCTCCAAGATGCCACCCTCTCAGCTCCACAACCGCCTTCCTTGGAGCCTTCTGCAGTTATCTCTCCCGGGACCCCTTTCCCTGATCCTTCCCTAATTAACTCCCAACTCATCCTTAGGTCTCGGTCAAATGTTACTTCCTCAGAGAAAACATGCCTTAACAAGCTCTTGTAGTATCCCATTCTTCACAAGCACAATTCTCGTCCTGTCTTGAAATTATATATTTATATTATTATACTTATTTGTGTGGTCATTACTGAGACCTGTGAGTTCTCTCAGGGCAAAGGCTAGGTCTGTCTTGTTCCATACTGTGCCACCAGCTCCTAGCACAGAGCCAGGTCTATAGTAGGCTTTCAACAAATGTCTGCTGAATGACTAAATGACTGAATGATGTATCATGAGCCAAAAATTAGGCTTATTCTGAAACCATTCTCCAATGAATGAAGGAAGGAAGGAAGGAAGGAAGGAAGGAAGGAAGGAAGGAAGGAAGGAAGGAGGGAAGGAAGGAAGGAAGGAAGGAAGGAAGGAAGGAAGGAAGGAAGGAGGTGGGGGGCTGGAATGCAAGGAAGGACTCAGCAGCTGAGACTCCTTGGGCCCACCTTCAAATACCCCAGAATCCCCCCACAACCACCACCAGCAGAGCTCAGCCCAACTTCCCTAGCCATCTAAAAGCTCCAGGCTGGATTCCAGGGTGGGAAGGTGGCTACCGTAGTCCTTGGGGAGGGGGGCAGGTGCAGAGGGGTGCACAACAGGCTTCTGCCGGCGCTCCTGGGTGGGGCTGGAGGCCTCGGGAACTGGCTCATCCTCCTCATCCTCTTCTTCCTCCTCATCCCGGAGTGGCGGGGCCATCGGGGCAGGATCAGTCTTAGTCATGGTCCTCAGTGGCCCTTGGAGGGGCAGCCTTCAGGAAAATTGTGGAAGCAAAGGTCAGCTAAAGAGGGCACCCCACAGGCTCTGGAGTCCGAGCCCACAGAAGCTCCCAGGGCCCCAGCTTTGGATTTGGGGCAAACATAAGGTCATCCGTTATCCATTAGAGGACTCTGGTATGTGGGCCTAGCCACCTCTCCCCACCCCCCCCCCCCTTCTTCATTCTCCTCTAGCGTCAGGGCCCTCACTCTAGGCCGCCCCATCCCCAGGTTTGTTTATCTCCAGATGCATTACGCTTCGACCCTCCCCTTCTCCGCAGGCCTCCCCTCTATCCATCTTACCTTGGGCAGACCAGGCTAGAAACCAAAGCTGAGAGTGGGGGTAGTGGAGAGATGGGGTGTTAGTTTTGGGGGAAGTGATGGGGGAAGAGGAGACAGAGAGAAGGGGACAAGGCACCGACACTGATGGGGGGGGGGATGGGGAGGAAGAGGGAGGGGCACTGAGGGCGCATGCGCCGTTTTATTCCCACTTGGCGCGGGGGAGGAGATACTGGGAGGCTGCTTGTATTTATGAACAGGCTGGAAGATCTGCGAGGAAGGGGACGGACACAGAGGGCGAGGGTGAGGAAGAGGTTGCTACGAAAAAGGATGTGAGACACGGAGACAGAAGGAGAGGTGAAGTGCAGACATGGGTAAATAAAAAGACAGGACTGGAAAAGCCGGCACAGTGCTTTCTGACTCCCCACCCCCATGATGGAGCCTTCCTGTAAGCCTGCAAACCAGGCCAATTCGGTCAGAGGGTCTCATTGTTGGTGACAATGGGTATTTTCTATCGGTGAGATCTCAGACCTGACTCCTTCTCCATGCTCATCCTATATGAGGGATGTCTTACAGATATGATTGCTATCACCATTGTTGTCATTCTCATCACATAGTACTCACACAGCACTTACTAGGCCCAGAAAGGTTAAGCCACTTGCCCAATGGCACACAGCAAGTAGATGGTGGAGCAGAGACTTGAAACCAGGCTGTCTGGGCTTTTAATCACCATGCCACATGGCTGTAGCAGAGTCTAGAGGACTCAGAACCCTTATTTTCACCAGGAAAGCCTCCTAGAGTCAGCCAAGGGCCCAGCCTTCCTGGATACATTATCCTAGCCTGGCTGTCATGCCTGGCTCTCAAACCTGCCTGGCTGTGGCCTGCACTGCCCACAATAGTTCCAGCCTGAACAGGGCTGGGAAACTTTGTCTTCTACCCCTTATCCTTTTAATGGGCGGGGCCAATAGTTCCATCTCCAAAATATTTACAGAATTATATCCCTCACCTCCTACCCCCATCCCTCATCTGGGTCCATCCTTCATCTTCCCTCACCTGGAACATGGAAGCATTTCTCCCTGTCATCCTGCTCCTCTCTTCGCCCTACAGCTTGCACCCTGCATGCAACCAGATGGACCTAGCATGTATCATCACATCAGGGCCTTCCTCTTAGAGGCACCCACTTGCTGACCTCACTCCAGGTACAAGCCAATGTTCTCAACCACAGCCCACAGGCCCTATGTGAATTTTCCTCTGTCATCTCTCCAATCTCATCTCCTCTCACTCTCCCCCTTATTCACTCCACTCAAACCACACTGGCCTTGCTCCTCCCCAGGTAGGACTTTTACATTGGTTTTTCCTTCTGCCTGAATGCTCTTCCCCCAGATATTTGGTTCCCTCTTTCCCCTCTTTTAAGATTTTACTTACTGATGCCCTTTTAGTAAAACCTTCTCTGCAATAAAATTGCACACACACCTCACCACACCCACACACTTACTTCCCTCCTTCCTTTAGTTTTCACCATAGCAACACTGTCCCTTCAGCTAATAACCTTAGATGCTGGACATTTGCAGAGGCTCTTCTTCCTGGAACATCCAGCCCACATACCTTCCAGGGCTTCTCATCATCCAAGTCTCTACTCAAACGTTGTCTCTTTAGAGAGTTTTCTTCTCCAACACCACTCCCTGCCCCTGTTCCATTACATTTCCATACATTCTTAATGCACTTATCATAATCTAAAATTATGTTGTTTATTATGTTACTAGTTCATTTTCTACTCAAGCAGAATGTAAGTACCATGAAGGCAGGACTTTGCTGTGTTCCAGCTCAGCACCAGTCTTGGCAAGGGATTTGAGAGGCTCTTCAGAAGCAGGTACAATTGTCTCCAAACAAAACAAACCTTGTTCTGTTTTGAAGTTGTTTTACTGACTGCAAAGATTTGAGCTGAGGGTAGCAGGTACATGGTACCCAAGAGAGTCAGGGCTGATGGGGGTCTTGGGCCCAACTTGGCCCTAAGGTTTAAGGGGACCCTAGGAGGGTGGGAGCCGGGCTTTTGAGAGAGGCACTGCTATGTCCAACCAAGGATGGGTAGTGGGGATGGACCAAGTCTCTTCCTCTGTCTTCTGTCATTTGTCCAGTAACATCTTTCCTGGTCCCTAGCACGGGGGGTCTGAGTATCCAAGAGCTTAGGCTTGACATGCAATGTGGGAAGTACAGAACCTTGGGCAAGGACCACAGGTATGTCAGGCTTTCCATAGATGATGGTGAAGGCCTGGGATTCCTTAGATCCAGAGAAAAGAAGTGGTAGAGATGGAGAACACAGGGGAGTGAGGATATTATGAGGAACAGGGAGGCCCAGGTAGGAGGTGGGTTTCAGGAAAAGGAGCGTAATGTAAGCAGAGAGAGAGAGATGGGGAAACAGGGAAGCAGATGTGAGAACCAGGGAGAGATTCATGGGGAATAAAGAAGTATGGGGAAGCGGAGAAAGAGATGTGAGGTGACACAGTCATGGAAAGATAGATATGGGGGATAGGAGAAATGTAGGGGCAGGGAGATAGGGACATAAATATGACAGACACAGTCCTGGCTGATGTGGCTCAGTGGACTGAGTGCCGGCCTGCAAACTGAAAGGTCACCAATTCGATTCCCAGTCAAGGCACATGCTGGGTTGTGGGCCAGGTCCCCAGTTGGGGGCATGTAAGAGGCAACCACACATTGATGTTTCTCTCCCTCTTTCTCCCTCCCTTCCTGTCTCTAAAAATAAATGAATAAAACCTTTTTTTAAAAAAAGAAAGGGTCTTAGGTAGGGTATGGGGGACTCTAGTAGAGAGGTCACAAACTCAAGCTCTATAGGGGCCAGACAGGGACACTCCAACAGGAGTTAACAGGAGACACCTGGTTTGAATCTTGGCTCTGCAAGATATTGGTGTTTGACTTTGGACAAATTACTGTGTCATTCTGTGCCTCAGTTTTTTCATCTGGAAAATGGGGACAAGTATAAAAATCATAGTGAGTTTTCTGTAAGTTATTAACTCTGTGTCTGGCAGAGAGTAAGGGCTTAAATATTAATAAGTGGAATGGCCACTACTTTGCCAGATTGATTTTTTTCCCCCAAGAAAAGCCCAAAATTTGAAAACAATGGGTAGAGTGTTCTGATTTTTAAATATTGGGCTCTAGCTTAAACAAAAACTCATGCTGTGTGGGTCAGGCAGGTCCCACTCACCCTTTGCAGCAAGCTTTGCCTGTGCAGCTCTGCCAGTTGCCTGGTGTTGTTCTTGGCACTGCTGCAGCCTCTGCACCTTCTGAAGTAGTGCTCCCAGTGCTGAGCCCAGCTCAGCCTACAGGTATTAGGAGGGGACTCCAGGGTGAAACCCTGGAGCCAGCAAAACACTCTGGGTGAAGGAGGTGTCAGGAACAGGGTGGCTGCATCCTCAGAGACTCCTGATGCTGGCCCCAGCACCACCAGGTGTTCAGGTACATAAGCCAGGATGGCTGAGCCAGGAGACAGGGATGTGGCATCCTGTGGAGGCACAGTTGGCTTCTGGTTGCTTTGGGAACTCCACTGCCGCTGGGAGACAAGGCATGAGGGGGTACATCTGGATGGGGCTCCAAAGGGGCTTTCTTCAGGAAGGGGCTGTGGCTTGGGGGCTTCAGACTCTAAGGGAGACTTACCTCGGGTAAGTCCAAATGTTAGGGAAGAATTTCCTTCATGAGGGAGGGCTAAGAGTAAGGCTCCAGGAGGTACTTCCCTAAAGACAAGACTCCACACGTTACTTCTCAAGTGGGGAAGGCAGGTGTGGAAGGGGTGGGTGGTCAACCTCCAGCAGTGGGACCACCCTGTGCTCACCTTGGCAGATGGTGCCCAGAGAAGATGGAGGGCACGGAATCTGGCTGCAGGTAGCACACACCCCAGTGCCACTGGAAGCAGGAAGGTGTGAAGTGCTCATTGCACAGGTGCTGATGACCCATGCACTGCAGCCAGGCCATCCTTCACTGGGAACCTGCCAGGTGGTGGAGTCAATGATATCAGGTCCAACCCTACCCCTCCTTGTGAACACTCACACCCAGAGGTCCTTGGGCTCCAAAGCCCTGTACCCGACCCCCCAGGATCTCTTTGCCTCCTACCTATATATTGCATTTTTCCACTCCACCTTTTAAACTCTCAGCATCAACCTGCCTATTCCACCTCCCCTACCCCTCCCATCTAGCCTCCATCCTCTAGAGCTGAGTTTTTGCCTCCTTCCAGGTCTTCCTGCCCACTTCATGGGGTGGGGAGTGGTTATAGATTAAAAGAGATTTAAGAAACATCAACCCAAATGCAGGATATGGACCTTGCTATGCAACAGATCACTTTGTAAAAAACCATTTTTTAATAATTTTACATATTTACTTTTAGAGAGAGGGGAAGGGAGAGAGAAAGAGAAGTAGAGAAACATCATGTGAGGGAAACATGTATCGACTGCCTCTCACATGCCCACAACTGGGAACCTGGCCTGCAACCCAGGCATGTGTCCTGACTGGGAATCAAACCAAAGACCCTTTGGTTCACAGGCCGGCACTCAGTCCACTGAGCCACACCAGCCAGGGCTAAACAGTTTTTAAACAACAACAAAAACAATCTGATTAAATAATAGGCAAAGAACTAGAATAAACACATCTCCAAAGAAGATATACAAATGGCTAACTAGCATATAAAAAGATGTGCAACATCACTATCAGGACAATGCCCATCAAAACCACCAGATACAACCTCATAACCATTAGAATGGTAACTATTAAAAAAAAAAAAAAACCCAACAACTTCCGGCCAAGATGGAGGCATAGGTAGATACACTTTGCCTGTTCACACAACCAAAAGGACAACAACAAATTTAAAAACAAAAAATAATAAGAACTGCCAGATAATCGAACTGTATGGAAGTCCGACAACCAAAGAGTTAAAGAAACATTCATTCAGACAGGTAGGAGGGGCAGAGATGGGCAGCCGGGGTGGAGAGGACTCGTAGCAAGGCAGTGGCCAGAGAACCAGGCTAGGTGGTGGCTGGTGGAGTGGGTGGTCCTACATTTGCGTACAGATAAACCGGGAGGAACAACTGAGGAGCAAGACAGACCATGAAATCCAGGGCTCCAGTGCAGAGAATAAAGCCTCAAAACCTCTCACTGAAAAAACTTGTGGGGGTTGCAGCAGCAGGAGAAACTCTGAGCCACACAGCAGAGTCCATTGGAGAGACCCACAGGGTCCTAAAACATACATAAAACCACCCACCTGGGAATCAGCACCAGAAGGGCCCAATTTGCTTGTGGGTAGCAGGAGTCGGGGGAGTGACTGAAAGCCAGCTGAGAGCCAAGAAAACTGCATTGTTCCCTCTCAGACCCCTCCCTCACACAGAGCACCACCACACAGGGAGGTGGGTTGCCTCACCCTGGTGAATACCTAAGGTTCCACCCCTTACCAAGTAACAGGCATGCCAAGACCCCCCCCCCCAAAAAAAAGGCCCAAATGAAAGAACAGATCAAAGCTCCAGAAAAAAATACAATTAAGTGACAAAGAGATAGCCACCTATAAGATGCAGGGTTCAAAACACGAGTAATCAGGATGCTCACAGAAATGGTTGAGCATGGTTGCAAAATAGAGGGGAAAGTGAAGGCCATGCAAAGTAAAATAAAGGAAAATGTACAGGGAACCAACAGTGATGGGAAGGAAACCAGGACTCAAACCAATGGTTTGGAGCAGAAGGAAGAAATAAACATTCAACGAGAACAGTATGAAGAAAAAAGAATTTAAAAAAAATGAGGAGAGGCTTAGGAACCTCAGGGACAACTTTAAACATTCCAACATCTGAATCATAGGGGTGCTGGAAGGAGAAGAGGAAGAGCAAGAAATTGAAAATTTATTTGAAAACATAATGGAGAACTTCCCCAATCTGACAAAGGAGATAGGCTTCCAGGAAGCCCAGGAAGCTCAGAGAATCCCAAGAAAGTTTGACCCAAGGAAGCATACAGCAAGGCACATCATAATTACATTACCCAAGATTAAAAAATAAGGAGAGAATCTTAAAAGCAGCGAAAGAAAAAGAGACAATTACCTACAAAGAAGTGCCCAGTAAGACTGTCAGCTGGTTTCTCAAAAGAAACCTTATAGGCAAGAAGGAACTAGAAAGAAGTATTCAAAGTCATGAAAGGAAAGGACCTATGTCCCAGATTACTCTCTGCAGCAAAGCTATCATTTTGAATGGAAGGGCAGATAAAGTGCTTTCCAGATAAGGTCAAATTAGAGGTTGCTATCACCAAACTCTTATTATATGAAATGTTAAAGGGAGTTATCTAAGAAAAAGAAGATCAAAAATACAAACAGCAAAATGACAACAAACTCACAACTATGAACAACTGAACCTAAAAATAACAAAAACAAAAACAAAATAAGCAAACAATTAGAATAAGAACAGATTCATCAAAATAGAGATCAAATGGTGGGTTATCAGCAGGGAAGGGGAGGGGGGAAATGGGAGAAAAGGTACAGGGAATAAGAAGCATAAATGATAGGTACACAATAGACAGTGGGAGGTTAAGAATAGTATGTGAAATGGAGAAGCCAAAGATGTTTCTCTCCCTCTCTCTTCTCTCCCTTCCCCTCTCTCTAAAAAGTAAATTAATTAAATCTTTTTTTTTTTAAGGGAAGGAGAAAGAGGAAGGGAAATATCAATGTGTGGTTACCTCTTGCGCACCCCAACAGGAACCTGGCCTGCAACCCAGGCATGTGTCCTGACTGGGAATTAAACCATGACTCTTTGGTTCGCAGCCCATGCTCAATCCACTGAGCTACACCAGCCAGGCCTAAATTAAATCTTTTTTAAAAACAGAAAATAACAAGCATTTGTAAGGATGTGCAGAAAGTGGAACCCTGTGCACTGTTGTGGGAATGTAAAATGGAACAGCCTTTATGAAATAGTATGGCAGTTCTTCAAATTAAAACTACAGTTACCATAGGATCCATCAATTCCACTTCCTGATATAGACCCAAAAGAATTAAAAGCAGGTTCTCATAGAGATATTTGCACACTCATGTTCATAACAGTGTTATATGCAATAGCCAAAATGTAGAAGAAACTCAAGTATCCATCAACATATGTGTGGATTAGCAAAATGTGGTGTACACATACAATTAAATATTATTCAGCTTTAAAAAGAAAATTGACATAATATGAATGAACCTTGAAGGCATTATGGTAAGTGAAATTAACCAGCTACACACACAAACATACTGTGTGATTCCATTTACATGAAGTATATAGAATAGTTAGATTCATGGAAACAGAAGTAAAAATGGTTGTTGCCAGGGACTGGGGAGAAGCAGAAACTGAGAGCTGTTTAATGGGTACAGAGTTTCAGTTTTGCAAGATAACAAAGTTCAGAAGATCGGTTGCATGACAATTTTAATATACTTACTACTACTGAACTGTACACTTAAAAATGGTTAAGATAGTAAGATTTTATGGTGTGCATATTTTACCATGACTAAAAATTAAAATAAAAAATGTTTTAAATGAACTAAATAAAAGCTTTTTCAGTGGGAGAATGGGGATTATCTGACAAGGCACCCTCTAGAGGTGCCCCTCCCACTTCTGTGTCCTAGTGCCACTTTCCCCCAACATTTGTAAAGTAATACTCTCTGTTTAGACCTGGGCTCAAGGCTGTACACAATAAAGACCTTATTTTCCAGCTTCAATTGCAGTCAGGGGTGGCCACATGATTATGTTCTGGCCACTTTGTCCTGTAGCTGCTGCCAGAAACTGTGAAACATCACACATTTATATCAAGCTGCTAAATTTTGGGATAGTTTGTTCGTAGTGTAACTGTTACACTCAGTCATCCACATCCCACCTTCACAATGTCTTCCATATTTGTGACATTATTTACTGAATATTTTTCTTAAAATTCACCAACTTGAAGCATTAATCAAAGATATCTTTGGCTAACTTTACACAAAGTTGCAAATGGAAAACCAGTATCAATCCCACAAATAGAAGTGAACTGTAAAAACACTGAATACCTTTACTTGCTGAGGCCTGTGAGGCCTGCTCTCTGTTAAAAAGGAAGAGTAAGGAGCCCTAGCCAGGTGGTTCAGCTGGTTGAAGCATTGCATACACCAAAAGTTTGTGGGTTCTGTCCCAGGCAGTGCACACGCCTAGGTTGTGGGGCGCATATGGGATGGAACTGATCAATGTTTCTCATATTGATGTTTCTCTCTCTCTCTCTTTCTCTCTCTCTCTCTCCTCCTCTCCAATCCCCTTCCTCTCTCTGAAGTCGATAAATATATTCTTGAGTAAGGATTTTTTAAAAAAGGAAGAGTAAGGAATGTTAGAGAGTGGGGAACAATACTATTTAGAGGACAGGGTAAATTAACTCAGCCACATGTCCACAAAAGAGTACTATGTAGCTCTAGAACAAACTATGGAGGCACTGTAGGAACTGACATGCAATTGCCAGGCATATAGTGACTAAAGCAAGTTTCCAAATAGAGTATGTCATCTTTTAGTTGCTGTGGTAAGCTGAATAATGGTCTCCAAAAGATGTCTATGTCCCAGGAACCTATGAATTACATTTCATGACAAAAGATGTGATGAAGTTAAGGATCTTGAGATGGGAAAATTATCCCAGATCATCCAGATTGGCCTTAAATGCAATACCACAGATAAAAAAGGAGAAGGTGATGCAGCCATGGAGGCAGAGATTGGAGTAATGTGGCCACAAGCCAAGGAATGCCTATGGACAACAGGAACTGGAAGGAAATGGAACAGATTCTTCTTTAGAGCTTCCAAGGGAATGCAGCACTGTCAACATTTTGATTTTGGCTCAGTAAAACCAATATGGACCATGAGACAAAAATTCCTGTTGCCCTAAGCCAACAAGTTTGTTATAGCAGTCACAGGAAACTAGTATAGTAATAAGGGGGGAAATATGAACATATATTCAGATTTGCTTGTATTTGCATAAAGAAACACTGGGAAGAACAAATGAAAAACTAAAAGAGGCCACCAGTGGGGAGGAGGTGGATGGGATGGACAGAGGTGGGGATGAAAGCAAGACTTTTCAGGCAAAAAGGCAGGGGAAGCGGGGCAGGGTGGCAGCTGGTGAAAGAGGACAGAAGGGCTGACTCAGAGAAGAGATGAGGCACCCCAAGACCAGAACCTCAGGGCCCACAGCCAGGAATTCTGCCTTCTGCAGTCCCTTCAGCCTTGGTCTGGGAACCAAATGCTCTCCACCAGCCTCATTCTGGACACACATAGGAAATTCAGTGTAGCAGCACTTCCCAGCCCCTATTCTGGGGCAAAGACAACTCCACTATCTACTCTCTTCTTTCCTACTAACAAAACTCTAACTTTATTTGAGAACATAATATGCCACGCTAAAACACTGTTTCTGGCATTCCTTTGCAGCTGTGTGATGACAACTAAGTTCTGGCCAATGAATACTTTTGTGTTGTGTGAGATACCTGGGATGGTACCTTAAATGCAAAAAGGTTCTCAAGTGGAATCAGAGCATCTTGAGGGGCAAAAGAGGATAGTGAATACAATTAAAAAAAAAAACTCTTCCTAATTTGGTCTTGTTCTCATTTTCTTTTGTTCCTCTGAATGGCAACCTTTATGATGGGCAATAGCCCTCTCTAAAAATGTACTTTAAATGAACAGCCAGTGTCCTCCTTTTTTTTATAGAATATTTTCATCTTGTTGGTCTTATCTAGAACATGGAGCAACATACACTGCTAGCTCTTCTTTTCTTCTTTACTAACTCAAAATTTCTTCAGGGCTGTTAAATGCCCAGCTAAAAGACTACAATCCTGCCCTGGCTGGTATGGCTCAGTCAATTGAGTGCGGGCCTGCAAACCAAATGGTTACTGGTTCAGTTCCCAGTCATGGCACATGCCTGGGTTGCAGGCCATGTCCCCAGTGGAGGGTGTGCGAGAGGCAACCACACACTGATGTTTCTCTCCCTCTCTTTCTCGTTCCCTTTTCCTCTGGAAACAAATAAAATCTTAAAAACAAACAAACAAACACTACAGTTCCCAGCCTCCTTTGCAATTGGGGCAACCAATGATAACCCAACATTGGGAGAAGTTTCTGAGAAGACTTTGTAAAGAGGGCTGACTTGATTTAGACCTGGGTCCTTTGTGGTCTTCCTCCTTTCCTTTTCTTCCTGCTGGGAACGTTAGGGCATGATGGCTGGGCACTGGCAGCCCTCTTGGATGAAGCTATTTGCTAAGGATGACAGAGCAGAAAGATAGGCCCTTCATCACTGACAGTTGTGGAAGCCTCCACACCAGTGCTAGTCAGCCAACCTCTGTACTTGTTTTATATGAGAAAAATAAACTCTGAAGTAGACTGTATTATTGCTCAAAATATTTGCTGCCCTTCACTACATGAAAATTACACATCTCTACTCCCTTCACCTGAGGCTTGCCATAGACTTGTTTTGGCTAAAGCAGTGAAATGACATGAGCCACTTCTAAATATTCAATTTAGCAGGGTGATGCTCCCCACTATCTCTTTTCCCCCTCCCAGAAGACCAGCAATATTCCATACAGGGGGCGATTCCTTCATCCTGAGTCCTCAATTGAGATAGAATAGGGCCATGAACGACCTGCAAAGAACATAGTATGAGCAAGAAATGAAACTTTCTTGTAATAAGGCATTGAGGCTTTGAGTTGGTTACTGCAACATAACCATGATGCTCCCCTACACACCCCATAATTTGTTTAAGCCATTATTATTTCAGGATTTTGTCACTGCCAACCAGATGAATTTCCTAACTGAGCCCCTACTGCATTAGAGATGACTGCCATTTGTTCCTGAAGGCACCTAAAACAGAACTAATGTTTCCTTTGGCTGCTGGGCAGGCTTTTAAGTTATACCCTGGCAGTCACTTCCCTGGTTATGTTCCATCTTGTTCCTACCTAGCATCCATGCCCTCTCCTGAGTCTCCTTTAGAAACTGCTTCCTCACCCAACCTGCTCCTCACCCAATTCTTAGCTAAGTGGCTTCTGCAAGACTGACTCAGGGATGGACCTTGAGGTGCAAATAGACTAGTCTGTGAGAGGAACAGCCTGGCAGCCACTAGTGGGACTTACACAACACAGACATAACCTGGTTTTTATACTCACCTGGCTGCTAGGTATAATTGTTGTTCTCATTATATATGTGAAACACTTGGAAAAGTGCCTGGCATACAGTAAATTACTGTTGCTGTATGGGAGGCAAGAGTGGAAGCAGGGAGAGCAGCAAGCAGCTACCACACCACAGTGTCTTGGTAAGGGATGATGGCATGGTCCTGGCTGGGTAGCTTGGTTGGTTGGAGTGTCATTCTGATGCACCAAGGTTGTGGGTTTGAGCCCAGGTCAGGGCACATAGAAGGAGTGACCAATGAACGCATAAATAAATGGAACAGCAGGTGGATATTTCTGAGAGAGAGAGAGAGAGAGAGAGAGAGAGAGATGGCTGATGGCTGGCTGGACTACACTGTGACAGAAGTGGTCAGACTGGGAATGTGGACTTTTAAAAATTTCCTACTAGTTTAGTTAGGATTTCTCTATTTGCATTTGTAAAAAAATTGCCAATGTGTTAGAGTTTCTGATGTGATTGTTGCAGGATGGTTATGTGTTTGGGGGGTAGAGTCAAAGGATGGGTTAATAAACAAGATTGGGGGCAATGGTATTAAAGAAAAGAAAGGATTATGGATGATGCCCAGATTGTGTATTTAGTTCTTCAGTTTTGACCCCTTGCTTATCCATGAGCTGTCTGGGCAAGAACAAGATATGTCAGGCTCCTTTGTGTCCAACAGGGTCAGAAAGAGAATAATGTCTCTTCACCCTGCTAATCCCACTTCTAGAGACGGCAAGCTGGACCAGGTGCCAAGCTGGACCAGGTGCAGAGGAAGGCATTTACTTTCGGGCCCCGTCCCCTGCAAGCCCCATCCCACTATTGTGATCACTTGTAGAACCTCACAGAGCGGTTGTCGGCTCCCAGTAGGCCGGCCGTGTTGGAGCAGTTCGGAGCCCGGCAGTACTTGGTCATAGCTGTCCAGCCCCATAGAAGTTTTCCCTGTCTGCGGCCGGAGTTTTGAGGTCTCCGGAAGCCGCCAAATCCCGCCCCGCCCCGCCCGCGCACGCCTCCAGCCTTCTCTGAGGGACTGTAACGCCTCCTCACGTGCCTCGGTAGGGAGGAGAGCGCCTGCGTTCTATTTGCCCAGCCGGGTTACCACAGCTACGCCCTGGTCACAGGGGAAATGCAGTACGTCGGCTCTCAGTCACCTCAACCTTATCACAGGTTCCGGCAGAGATGGAGTCACCGCGTTTCAGAGCCTGTGTCAACCCGTTGGTCTGTTTCGGCTCCACCCTAGGGTACATCCGGGAGACTGCCATTGAGTTGCTAGTTGCTCTGGGGTGGCAGCAGAAAGCGAGATGAGGCGGCTTTGGTCTTGGCCACGTAAAAGTTAAAACCAGTATGTTTCAGAGATTGATGAAAACGCAGATTGGATATAAAACGCCACCATTTCTTGAATCTAGCTGTAGTTCCAACCGGCCAAGCACTCCGCTCCGCCTCTTAGCCCTCATTGGTCAAAAGCGCCGTCCCGCAGCTCTGAGATTGGCCACACCAGCAGCTACCGCATCCAATGGGTGGTGGCGCCAGCTTTCCCGCGGCGGTTCGTTATTTGGTAGCGTCGTGGCGGCGGAGGCGGTTGAAGTGTGAAACGGCCACCTGGCGCCAGTGAGAGCATGGCGGCCTTGGGGCCTGGAGGCTGTGTGCGGAACGACGCAGTCGAGAAGCTGCCAGCTATCATGGCGGGAATTCCAGCGCGGAGGGACCAGTCCTCCCCGCCCCCCGCTCCCACGCTCTGCCTCCGTCGGCGGCCGCGACTCCCTGCGGCGCCTGAGGATGCAGTGCAGAACCGGGTGAGGAGCTGTCTACCCTTCCCTGGCCAGGTCCTTCTCTTAGATCTTTTGTCCCGCCTATCAGCTTTTGGCTTTTAGCGCTCTGGCCCGGTAGCTCCCCTAAGCCCCGCCCCTTTAGCCAGGGCTCCTTCCACTTTCCTGTCTCCTCCACTGTCAGGTACTGCGTGTCATTCCTAACCCTACCTCGCAAACCCTGGCCCCACCCTCAATCCCTGGAGTATTCCTGGGTTCCGCCCTGGTTCAGCTTTCCTGCCTGTGTACCCCTTCAGTCTTTAGACGTCTCTCTGGGCCCTTCCGCTTTTGTTGATCTTTCCCCGGCGCTGTCTTTAGGGTCCTGAGCCTTACCTGCCCCAACTCTCTCTTAGTTCCTGCCTGTCTCCCTCCCTGCGTTCTCTTTCCTTCTCCCTTACCAAGGTGGGATTCTTATTCCTTATCGCCAACTCAAATTATGGAGAGGGTGTGAGTAATTGTAAAATCTCAGCTGCGTAGGGGGAGGGCTCAGGGCTTAGGGCCTGAGACACAGAGACAAAGGAGATGATTTTAGAGTGAGTGGAAGGAATTCCATTACCACAGCAGCTATTTTAAAAATTGTTCTCCAACTCCCTGAGCCCCAAAGTATGTTTTTTATAAAATGGAGATAATAACCATGCCATGGAGTTGCAATGAGATGAAATGAAATTGTGAGTATGACCTGCTTGACACAGAGTCCGACAAAAGGTGGATACATGGTAGCTGCTTGTGGATTCCTTCTGCATTTTGATTATATCACCCACTTCTGACTGGGAGACCCTGGGCAAGTGGCCCCTGTCCACCTCTTTGCCGTACCTCCCTCACCCTCCTTCTGAAAAAGGTTAAGTGAGGATTAAAAAAATATTTTTTAAAAAAGGTTAAGTCTCACTGTCCTGCTGTCTGTTTTCCTGAGCTACCAAGCTCTTTCCCACTTCCTAGCCTTTGCCTTTGGTGAGTCCTTTGTGCTGTTTGCCTCAGTCTACCTGGCTGGCTCCTCATCCCTCAAGTCTTGTCCTGATTGTCTCTACCATAGAGGCCTTGAACTCCAGCCTAAAACAAACATCCACCTTAATCTCCCATCCAGCTCCCTATACTTCATAGCCTTTTATGTTGTATGTTTCTGATAGTGTCTTGTCAGATTCTAAACTTTCTATAATGTAGAGGAATAACGATGGCAATTTCAGAGAAGCAGTATATTAAGGTGGATAAGAGCACAACCTCTGCACCCAGGCTGCCTGGGTGTAAATCTTAAACTATTCTTCCTGTTTTGAACTTTTCTGTACCTCAATTTCCTCATCTGTAAAATGAGGATAATAGTATAAATATTTCCTTATAGAGTATTTGTGAGGATTAAGTGAGCTCACATATCTTAAGCACTTAGAACAACACCTGGTACCTTGCAAATACTCTTATTAGTAACATAATCATACTGTTATGATTGTGTATTTTAGGTTATTGGTATTATTTATTTATTTTCCTTGTTTGGTGGTGCAGAGTCCACCTGGCTTGCAAAAGACCTAGTCTAAAAATGATCAGTTATACTAATGCCCAGTAGTACTGATTGACATATGAAAACATGAGTGCTGTTGCCTGGTTGCTTAGGTTAAAGTCCTGGCACTGCTCTTTGTTGGATAGAAAACCCCTCTGGGCCTCTGTTCCTCGTCTGTAAGATGAAGATGATGTGGAGTGACCAAAGCACAGGGTTATTATTAAATAAGTCAATACAATGATAGGTATTTGAACAGTGCCATCTCCAGGTTAATGCTCAATAAATGTTAGCTATTATTGTCCCATATTTGCCTTGCATTTCTGAGGCTAGGTATTTGCTTGAGAATGTTTTACTTATAATAATTAGAAACTAGCCTGGCCAGAGGTGGCTCATTTGGTTGGGCATCAGCCTGCAAACCCAAAGGTCACCAGTTTGATTCCAGGTCAAGGCACATGCCTGGGTTGTGGGGTTTGGTCCCCAGTCAGTGTGTGTATGGATGGCAGCCGATTGATGTTTCCCATCCACATCAATGTTTCTCTCCCTTTCTTTCTCCCTTCGCCTCTCTCTAAAATAAAAGATTAAGACAAAGAAGAAAATTTAATAATTAGAAACTAGTCTATTCAAAATATGAAAGTATTGCAATTCTGTGAGTCCATACTCTAAACTGTTTGATCAACCGTGATGGAGACTGGTGCATTTAACTTACTTTGCTTAGAGAGTTTTTCAATTTAAATGTGACCGTTCACTTCTTTCTTTACTTGTTGAACTACTAGACTATAAATTTGATAAGGGAATGGAGAGTGTCCACTTTTGCTCACTGCTGTGTCTCCTCCCCTGCAGGGCCCAAAGTCCTGGCTTTGGAGCCAGACTAACTGGGTTTGTATCCCCACCTTGCCACTCTGCTGGTGTGGGACCTTGGACCTCAATGTCCTCATCTGTAAAAGGAGGCTGATAATAGTGCCTTTTTCTTTAGGTTGATGTGGAGTTTCAAGTCTTTTATCCACACAAAATACTTAGAAATTTATTCAAAGGTCACCTTCTCAGTGAGGCCTTCTCCCCTTCCCCTGTGCTTCTAGTTTCCTTCCTTCCTTCCTTCCTTCCTTCCTTCCTTCCTTCCTTCCCCTTCCTTCCTTCCTTCCTTCCTTTCTTCCTCTCAACCAAGGGTATGTTTATTGATTGATTTTAGAGAGAGAGGAAAGGAGAGAGAGAGAGACATTGATGTGAGATCAAAACATTGATTGGTTGCCTACCATATGTGCCCTGCCTGGAGATCCAACCTGCAAACTTTTGGTGTATAGGATGATGCTCCAACCATTTGAGCCATCCACCAGGGCTGCTTTGTTCTTTATTGCTCTTATCATCACCTGGTATCTATTTTGCAATTTTTTTCTGTTTATTTTTTTCTTGGAATGTTCTCTATCCCATGACCACCAGAATGTGAGCTCCAGAAGGGGATGGATTTTTGTCTGTTTTCCTCACCATTCTATGTCCTTCACCAGGCACTGTGTATTTGTCATAAGACTGTTGAGGAAAACAAGGGTTAGCTGGTGGTAGATGACTATAGAAGTTTGGTGAGTGTGTTCAATATAACAGGAACAAAATGAGTTCCTGTTATATGCCACATGGGGCCTGCTAGGGCAGGTACTTTTGACTTGAGCCTTTTCCCTGCAGGTGTCATTGGAGAAGGTGCTTGGCATCACAGCCCAGAACAGCAATGGCCTAACCTGTGATCCCAGCACAGGCCATGTGGCCTACCTAGCAGGGTGAGTGAGTGGCTGGGCCTCAGCTTTTCCATCTGTAGAATGCAGATAATAGAGTGTAGAATGCTGCCTATCTTCGTGGGCTGTGGAGAGAATTCCATGGTACTATGAAAGCCTTATTGTGACTGCAGGTGGGAGGTTGCAGCGATTATGGGAAAGACAGCTTGGATTTGTGTCCCACCTCTACCATGTGCCCCTCTCTGAGCCTCTTCTTCTGTGTCTATAAAACAGAAATAGTGTACTGAAGGACATTCTGCCGCCGTTTATTCCAAAAATACTGACCTAGCCTGATACAGTTCTAGGTTCCAAAGGGAAACGCCCTAATCCTTGCAGGGCAGGGCAGACCCATGGTCATTTCTGATGAACAGTATCTGTTATTGAGTTTCAGGGAAGTAAACAGTTCAAGATAGAGGACAACGGCAGGCTCTTGAATCTGACAGATATAGATTCACATCCCCACTCTGTCCCAGACATACTGGGTAGCCATAGGCAAAGGACTTCCCCTCTCTAGGCTTCAGTTTCCTCCTCTTTAAAAATGGGACTAAGATTCCTGACCTTACCTGGCAGTTGTAAGGATTTAAAGAGATCATACACATAAGAGATCAGGGCCTGGTAGGATAGTTACCCCAGAGGAAGTGTTTGTTTCTATTTAAGAACATGTTTTAATAATAATGTGAAGTGCCCTAGAATTCGTAGCATAGACACCTAGAAAAGGAGGTAAACAGAGAGATTCTTCTGCTCAGAGGGAGCCTTGTTTATCCGTGGGCTCTCTTTTGTTGGGAACGGAATATCCCTGGACCTTAATACTCCCCTCAATTTGGGCACATTTTCTTCTTTCTCCCCAGCTGTGTGGTGGTGATTTTG